TCCAGTAGAAGAGGAGAAAGAGCAGTCCCACCGACCTTTCCTGATGATGCTTGCTCGGCACTCAGACGACCGCCTCCACAGACGACGAAGACGGGGACTGGAGTGTGACGGCAAAGTCAACCTCTGCTGCAAGAAGCAGTTCTTTGTCAGCTTCAAGGACATTGGCTGGAGTGACTGGATCATTGCTCCCACAGGTTACCATGCCAACTACTGTGAAGGGGAGTGCCCCAGCCACATAGCGGGCACATCTGGTTCATCATTATCCTTCCACTCCACTGTCATCAATCATTACCGTATGCGGGGCCACAGCCCCTTCTCCAACCTTAAGTCATGTTGTGTGCCCACCAAGCTACGACCAATGTCCATGCTATACTATGACGATGGGCAAAACATCATAAAAAAGGACATTCAAAATATGATTGTGGAGGAGTGTGGCTGCTCATAAACACACCCCACACCAAGGGCTTCCTGTCTGAGTGGAGAATTGAACAGAAGCTGCAGTAGAGGAAAGACTTGATGATGGTTTAATCTTTCCAAATGAAACCAATACTAAAAAAAAAAAAGAAAACACATGGAGTTCAAAAAGACTAAAGACAGACAAAGGAAGCAAAAGAAAGCATAAACAGGGCTTGAATGAGAAACTTTTTGAACAGTAGTGTGGGAAGGGGGATTCCTCTTCCTTTCAATATGTTCCATATTTTATTATATAGTTATGTTAAACATTATTTGTTACAAGGGGAATTGTGTTCCTTCTCCTAGTTACCTATCAGTTCAAGCCCTGGTAGCAGCTTGCCTAACCTGCAGCAATTTGGACTCCAAAATTGGAGTCCAAATGACATTGAAATTCCTAGAAAAGCCACGTGTATGAACACTACATTCACTGGCACTTTCCCCTCTTCCTTCTTCCCAATTTACCAAGGACATAATGAGAGTGTGTGTACAGTACGTATGTGTGTGTGCATTTGTACTTGTGTGTGTGTGTATATGTGTGTGCACGTGTGTATTTACATACACAAACATGAGCACACATATATAAATACACAAATGCAGATGTGCGTACACACATGCTAATACATATACTGAATTATGTCGGTAAAGGGACAATATTGCGCAGGTGTTCACACCTTCATCTTCTGCACTACATTTGCAAAAAACAAAAAAAACCCACAAAAAGAAAAAAAAAACCCAACAAAAACACAAAAAGGAGAAAAAAATGAAAAATGAAAAGGAATGAAAGAAAGAATACAAAGTTTCATTTTGTTAAGGTGCTTACAACATTAGAACTATGCAACCTAGTTGGTTTGAAACTGTTTACCTGAGAGAGAAAGGAAAAAAAATAGAACAAAACAAAACAGAAAGACTTTATTTAATGGAAGTAACTTTTTTTTTGTTTCCATGAGAGATACTTGAAAGGAACATGTTTGTCCAGTTACTGGAGCCGAACATTTCTATATTTTGTAAAAAAAATTTTTTAATCGTTTACTATTTGCACTACAATGGTGTTTGACCTGTCTAATCTTTATTTAACAAGTATATTTGAGGGAGGTTGATTCGGAGTAGGAGGGGTTGAGAGCTGCACTTATTGTGGGCTATACAAAAACTGCTACAGCACACAAAATAGCTATTTATATTATAATTATTATTATTATTTTGTACCTTAAAAAGAATAGACACATACACCAAAGACATTTATGTGAGCCTCTAAGCAGTCTCTTTGCGGTTGGTACCGTTCAGAAGAAAATAATCAGGGTTTAGATTATGGAGACAGTGGGATTGATTACATTCAGGCTGATATACTATAGTTAACTAGTTTAACTGATATATTTCCCATTGGGATCTGGGTTTAACCGAGGATTTCCAATCCCCAGAAAGTCCTGGGATACATGGGTTTAAGATTCTGTTTCAGGTCCATCTATGGTATAAATATAACTCCTTTCACATTCATGACACTAAAACCTTTTCCTGCTGTATAGCAGCTGTACATTGTACACATGGTATAAGCACTTCAGGCGTCAACTTAATGTTCTTACAGCAATGAATGTTTATGTGCAAAGCACAGTGTATTAAAATATAATTTTTAATGAGTGGAAGGGAACACATTTAAAACAATCCCTCGGAATGAAAGAAATTTAAAGTTTTAGTGTAACATTTAGATCTGATGTAAAAGAGCATGTAGCTTTGGGCTTGCCTTACCATCACTCCTGTAGAACAGAGAGCAAAATGAAAGCTATGGTATTATTTCTATTTCAAATACAGTCTTGACTAAGAGACTGGCTGTCTCAACCACCGTTCTCCAGTCTGGCGACTCTTGATGAGTTTGTACAATATATGACCTAATTTCAGTGTCAACACCTAACCTGAAGGGTCCAACCTATAGGGTGTAGGTAGATAGGTTTTAAAAATTCTATCACTGTCATATTTAAAAGAATGCTGAAGTAAAAACATTTGTTTTTGGATAGGGGAAAAAGATTAGCGGGAATGGGAGAAACCTTAAGGCCTTGTCTACACTGAGTTTGGAAACCATGAGGCCTGGTGCTACAAGTTCTTACCCATGTGAGTAAAGGTTTGCAGGACCAAGCCTCTTTGTTAGCAACACCCCATTGAGCTAAGCCTAAAAAAATACTTCTTGTTAGAAAAGCATGATTATGGTTCCCCATTTTGGCGATAGCACAGTTTATAAAAAACAAAACAAAACACAATTTTAGAGCACAATTGATTCCTGTCGGCAATGGCAGCGATACAGTGTATTAACACCTTTATGGCAAGAATCATGTCCAAGCAGTGTAATCAGGGTCTTAATTTTTGTCAGCCAAAACTCCGTGTGTGTGTGTGTGTGTGTGTATGAGTCTGTGTGTGGTTACCCACATTTGTATGAATCAAATGAGATGTGTGTGTGTGTGTGTGTGTGTGTGTGTGTGAGTCTGTGTGTGGTTACCCACATATGTATGAATCAAATGAGATTTTAAAAAAAGGAAAAAAAATTCCTCTGTTGAATAAATATCAACATATGTGCTTATAGCTAAGTTTTCTATCTAATTTATTCCATAGTATTTAGAATGCTTAGTACAGCTAATGGGTTATACATTTATGTACTTTTTATACAATGCATTTTTTACAGACTTGTTTGCAGTTTGCAAAAAAAAAACTTTTGTAAAAATTGTAACAATTAGGTAAACACTAAATTTGTGACTAAAGTATTCTACAAGATATCAAGGCTTTCTGATTTAAATTTTTCACAGGAATTTGTTTTTCTTTTCTTTAAAGGGGTTACTAAAAGCAAATGAAAATAAAAGAATACATCAATAATTTCTCCTTAAAAATTAAACAAAACAAGTGCCTGATCTTGCATCCATTGAAATGAGTGGCAAAATTACTACTGATCTCTTGAATACTACAGGCCTGATCCAAGGCTTATTGAAGTCAGTGAAAAGATTCCTGTTGACTTCAATGGGCTTCAGATCAGGCATTAAATGGTATATGCGGCCCTCCAGAAAAAACTTACTCATGTCCGTAATCCCATTGACTTCTTGGAAGGGATTTAGGTTTGGTTTATTTTGTGGGGAGAGAAACTGTATTTCCATGAATGATGACACAACCAACACAAAACAGCTCCCAGGGACTAACATGAGATTGCAGAATGGTTTTGTGAACTAGTTTACATCATGGTTAATTCAAAAAAGGAGCCATGCTAGCCACTTCATGCTAGGAAGAGCTATTTTTAAGTTTGGTTTAATAGCTGCTGCTAGCCTGAACTCCAATCCTCGTGCCATTAAAGTCAATGGCAAAACTCGCATAGACTTCAACTGGCGTAGGACTGGGCCCATGATTTTCCTGGCTAGAGCAGACAGATTCTTTTTTTTTTTTAAGTTTAATGTTGTATAGTCAAAAAGACAACTCTCCACAAGTTTATATGTGGTGAAAGGGGACTGGTTCTGAAAACATGAAACTAGTATGAGAAAATTCTGAAGTGAGGAAAGAAAAGATGATTTTAGATGTGGTAGGTGGGTTGTAGGTTTTCAAGTCAACAAGTAACTATTCCCAACCCCTGCTCCAGTAGCTTTAATTCATATGTACTCTCCGTTTCCAAATTTTTAAAAGGTTCTCTCCCTTCAATCCCCAGACTCAGTCATGGGGTTTTGATTTGTGGTTAGAGTTATTTAAAGAAGAGAGAAATGAAAACCTACATGATAAAAAAAATCAGAAATTGGGATGTTTTTCAAGTCAACAAGTAACTATTCCCAACCCCTGCTCCAGTAGCTTTAATTCATATGTACTCTCCGTTTCCAAATTTTTAAAAGGTTCTCTCCCTTCAATCCCCAGACTCAGTCATGGGGTTTTGATTTGTGGTTAGAGTTATTTAAAGAAGAGAGAAATGAAAACCTACATGATAAAAAAAATCAGAAATTGGGATGTTAATCAAGACTGACTGATTCCAGCACAACCCCCCTTTCCCTGATAATTTGGTTTAATTAAATCTACATGTCCTCAAAATAGCATTATAAATTGCTACCATATTTGACAAGTTCTTTGAGGGGATGTGATCTTGAAAATAATCTATTTTTTAAGGTAGTAGAATAGAAAAAAAGGAAAAGGAAAGGCTTTAAATGCTAAACTGTTCCCTTCCATATAATCCACTCTTTGGGAAACTGAACAGTAAAATATATATTTTCAACATATATTTAAAAAATTAAATATATTTCTTTAGTATCTCTCTAGTAATCATGTTGTAAAATTCCTCAGACCTTCCAAAATGCTTCCTCCCCCCCTTGTTAAAAAACTCTACAATTGTCAGATGTCTCTGGAGAGCCTGGTTAAGTATAACATTGAGATATGTATTTGTGAGGATGAATGTATTAATCTGTGATTGTATTCTGGGGCTTTAGTAAAACAAAATGCATGCATATGGTTATGATTTCTTTTGGGATTTTTCTGTACTTATATTTCACAGCAGAATGCTGATCTAGGGCCCCATCTTGTACCCATTGAAGGGAATGGGAGTTTTGCCACTGACTTCAGTAGGAGCAGTCCCTCAACAATCATTGTACAATAGTACGGAATCATAAATACCCCATTGTTTGTATTCAAGTCATCAAGTTAATTTAAGTATAACAGTACAAACTCAAGGTGAAATTGGCAGCATCCTCTGAGTTGGAAAAACTTAATCACCCATAAAAGTCTATGTGCTAAGTAAAAAAAAAAAAAAAAATCATAATGAAGGGCTACTTTTACTCGTGCTGAATAGTGCCTTACTCTGCCAATAGTCCTATTGAGCTCAGTTGAGGATTCTTACATAGTAAATGCTATTCAACATGAGTAATGGTGGCAGAATTTGTTTCTAAAATGCAGATAAGAAGGCAAGTATTGGCGTTACTCATGCCTTTAAATTAAACCTCATATCAATCAAAATCAATAATATGGGTCAATGTAAGAACCAACCTGTTAATACTTAATAGAGCCTTATTCCACCACTGGTGACATTGCCTTTAAAGGGACTACTTGTGGAGTAAAGTGCTATGCAGTATGAGTAAGAGAAATAGGAATTTGGACTTATATGAACAATTATAAGTCATATTTCAATGGGCAGAAACAGCTTCTGGGTTATATGCTATTTTTTTGAGACACAAAAAATTTGTGTTAATTTTCAATGAGGTTTTGTATTTAAACACTTTGAAAACCATACGTTCATGAGGGATTAAAGATATATATGTATATATGTGTACACATCAGTATATATACATATATATAAGTTATGAAAGCCAAGATATTATGAAGCCTATTTTGTTTTTATTATTGTGTTTTGTTGTTGATGTTATTATTATTATTATTATTATTTTGCATATTACATGCAGTGCTTTAACCAATGTCTGTTTGGCTAATGTAATTAAAGTTGTTAATTTATATGAGTACATTTCAACTATGTCAATGGTTTCTTAATATTTATTGTGTAGAAAGACTGTTTTTTAAATTTACAATATGTTTAAAGAGGTAACAGTTTGATATGTTCTCATTTGTTTATATTAGAAGTTATTTATTTTCAAGGCATTCCGTCTGATATTTTGATATTTGGAAGGCATGCTACCTATACTTTGTACAGTTAGTGGGCAGTATTCATCAGCTCCCAATAGATTCTTAGGCCTTACATTAAATAAAAGACATGTTTGGGGATTTTTATTTTAAATCTTTCTTACTGGTTTGCCAAGAATAACTCAGCACACTAATTGTCAGACACTTTGCCTGCGTGACCAATTTATTCCTACTGTAATTGCCTGAGACAGAGGACCAAAGTTGTCCCTGGTGTAAGTCCAATGACTTCAGTGAAGTTACATCACAGATGAATTTGGCTTACAGAGAGAAAATGCAAGGAAAAGTCGTGCGAGAGAAGAGGAAGAGTCTTTGCATTTGGAGGGGATTTTGATGTGTTAAAAATGTTTGGGTCCGGTACAATTTTATTTTACATCACAACAACAGCAACAACACAAGTGAAATAAATAAAGGGAGTTTCACTGAGCTTTGTGTACTTGTCTGTTAATATGTATTCCTGGTTGGGAAAGTGGGGAGCTGGGGAAATAAGAGATAAAAGGAGACAAAAAGGTGAAACGTGTAGATGCCTCCTAGTGTACAACAGATTTTAAAGTTGGAATTCTACCATCATTACTTATTCATTCAGGTACATGGGGTTTTTCTTTCATTCATTCATTTTTGACTAGTGGAAGATACCCAAATCTGAAAGAGAAAGCAAAGCACATATGCTCATTTTGAGGCTGTTAATTCTTCCATGACATATTTCTCTGAAACTACTAAAGAATTAAAGACACATACAAAACCCAAAGAGAATTAGGAGTTATCCTATAAGATAAAACTGCAATGGTTACTAGTCCACATGAATCAAGGTATAAACTAATCAATAGTTCCATCATTTGCTCAAACAGGCATAAATAGTCAACTAATCATTTGGGCTAAAAAAGGAATTCCCCCGGTGGTATAATACTTTACAATTAAGTATTAAAAACTCTGAGGGTTTTATCTTTTTTGTGTGGTAATCCTGATTGCCTATGGATACAGCTAGCCTAAGATGGACCATTAGAATGTTCCAATATAGAAAGCTGCAGAGAGCAGGAATATTAGATTCAGCACAAAATTTTTTATAAATGCTGCACCAAAAAGTTAAACATTTTGCAAAATTCTGCATATTTTATTTGACAAAATAATACAATATAATCACAACAGTATCGATTATATTGGTAAATCATTTAAATCACAATACATAATAAGTTATAACAAATATTCAGCACTTCTTAAGCACCTCAGTTAAGTTACTAATACTTGGTAACCAGTAGCCTATATTCCTGTTATAATCCTGGAACACTCCTTTGGGAAGAGCTTGGTTCCAATTGGCCTGACATTTCACTGATCATTTTATAAATGTGTTATTTGCTCTCAAAGTCTTTTTTTTTTAATGGCTAAGTAAAAGAAATTCTGACCTGTAAGTTAAACCCATTATGCCACTCAGGGACAGGAAAAAAAAAATTAAGAAAGCACACACACTTTTCTAGCTAAGGATTCCCTAACTGTCATTTACAATAAGGAACCTTTATACCACTCTGGGAATGTAATGGAACCTTAAAACTTGAACAGTGTGTTTTATACTTCTAAGAGCATTGACTAAGAACAGAAACAATCAGGGGCGGATATAGGGTAGGGCGAACGGGGCGGCCGCCCCGGGCCCCGTGCTTAAAAAAGCCCCACGCATGCGCTGTGGCAAAGGGGGGGCCCCCGCGGAGTTATGCTGCCCAGGGTCCCGCAAAACAGTCATCTGCCCCTGGAAACAATTAAATAACAATAGGAACAAA